ATGCCATATCCCGCAGTGTCTCCAGCCAAAGACGATCTGAATCTTTGGGGCCCCAGCCGGGGAGCCGAGAAACCCCAACGGAAGCCAGATCCGAACACAATCTCTTTAACCCTCTGCGCCACGTCATAGCCTACCCACCTCGTTGTTTCTTCCAGCCTGGACCGATGTCTGCGAGTAGTGCATGGTGTGGCAGACGGTGCTCAGGCATTCGTAGGACGTGCCCTAACCACCTAAGACGACGCTGTGAAATTATTTTGCCCAAAGGAAGACTATTTGTTCCTACCACCCGTCGTCTGACTTCATCGTTGTTCACGCGATGCTCCCACCATATGCGGGCGATGTTGCGCAGACAACGGTTGTCGAAGACTGATAGCTGCTAGACGTGATCTGCTCGGAGAGAGCAGGTCTCGCAGCCACAGAGCAACCCGGTGCGTACCGTTGCGCAATACACGCCCTTTCAGTGAAAGGGATATATCGCACCGGCGCCAGCGATGCCGCAGATTAGCAAACGCTAATCTAGCTTTGATCACGTGTTGAGAGGTCTCCTCGCCCACACCTCCGCCAGCCGTTATGCAACTCCCAAGGTAGACAAAGAGAAGAGAAACGGAGAGATAGGGCAACCCTGTCGTACCTCACTGGTGACAGAAAATGAGGGTGAAAATTCACCATAGGCCCTAACCTTCCCCGAGGTCTGATGATAGAGCGCTTTTAGGAGTGTGACATACTTCTCGGGTACTCCGTATCTCCGCAAACAGTTCCATGGTGCGGGGTGATCGATAGAGTCGAAAGCCGCTCTGATGTCTAAGAACACGACAATGGTTTGTCGTCTGTATGTGTGGCTCTGTTCTAGTAGCTGACGGAGGGTGAAGATTTGATCTATGCATCCACGGCGTGCACGAAACCCGGCCTGCTCTTCGCAGATTTGCTTCTCACGGAATGGGTATAACCTGCATAATAAAACGGACGCTAGCAGCTTCGGCGCTATTGGAATCAGACTTATGCCCCTGTGGTTGGAACAGGCGTTCTTGTCGATGAGTGTGACAATCCTTTCTCCCCATATGTGGGGTACTCTTTCAGTTTCCTAGATATTCGAGAACAGTCTCACACGTTCTCTTACGAGAGCATCTCCACCATCTTTAAAGAGAGCAGGTGGCTGGCCGTCTGATCCAGATGCCTAGGCTTGGAGTTCCTTTCGGATCTCAGCTTCTGTGGGCGGTCCCGTGGGTAGTGGCCAGGGTGCACTTTCAAGAGAGCTGCTTGGGGCAGCCAGCGCGGGGGGCTGGTTGAACTG